AAAAAAAAAAGCAAGTAAATAATAAACCAAGCCATGAACCCATCATTACCAAATGTAATGATTATCACTATCTTGATAGGCTTTCCAAGGAGATTAGAAATATTCATGGAGAGGAAAGCTGTCCGTAGCTCCTAATCAGGAGAGCTCTTAACCATCACTACAAATCAGAAGTGGAACATGTCTGATATTAGGACTAGGTGCTAGAAGAACTGGAGTGGGAAGACACTATGATACTCATGACACACACGTGGGCTTTGCCCAGCAGCCTTAGCTGGTTTGATTGGGAATAGTATAGAGAATTTAAAAACCCCAATGGCATAGCTGCATTTATGTTGCCGCGGTCATTGTTTCTAATTCACCCAATTGTTTCAGGTTTTGAGTTTCTATAATTGCAAAGTTGCTGAAAACATTAAAACGACTTCAGTAATTACAAAATCAATGAAAACATTAAGAACAGGAAATGAAGCAATAGATTCAATTGAACGATGAAAGAAGTGAAAAGTTACTTACACCATTACAACACGCCAATAATAAAGCAAACACTTGCATGTTCCTCTGTGTGATAGGAGCCCTTTCACTAAAATCTCGTGGGAAGATTGGCTTCTTCCTGCTCTAAAATTCTATAATTTTACAAGAAAAGATCTCTTTGGAATAATGCATGGAAAATATCTCTATGGAAGCCACTGTTACACTTTTTTTTTTTAAAGTGGCACATTTTGGGCATGCCTTTAGGTACCAATCAGCGCAGTTATTTGGAAAGAGGTCTTTGTATTTGCCCAGCAGACCACTCACCTTGTCTCTGATGAACAACATGACCGGCTTGGTGAGGATCTCCGTCCTGCCTTGTGACGTAAGGGATCGGATTGGCTAGAGTCCAGAGATGACCTGCTAGAAGGGGACTCGTTTCGAAGACATGGCTGAAGTGGAGAGCTGGAAAATGGTGGAGATACAAAGCTGGCCTTCTTCTTTCCAAGAGGTTCAAGAGATGGCCAAACCTCTCCACTGAAAAGAGAAGTTTTCCCAAAAGGAAATCATTCTAGATTACAGGGGACCTGTGAGAAAGTATTACTCCAGCTAGAACCTTGGGACCATCCTTTTATAAAGGATGTTCCCAAGGTTCTAGCTGGAGTAATACTTTCTAAAGTACTTTCTACTCCATCTAAAACAGTAACACACTGCTTTAAAAAAAAGAAAACTCCATCTACTTCATTATTAGCTATTTTAGCTGTACGCTTCAGGAAGGATGAGGCATCCTTTTAGGAGCTAGGAGATTTTTTTAGGAGCTCCTTTTAGGATATTCAACTTTTTTGTAGTGAGGAGGCTATGGTTGATAGAACAGAAGGCAGGGAAGCCATATCACACACACAAACAAGGCTAGGATCTTCCTTCCTTCCTTCCTTCCTTCCTTCCTTCCTTCCTTCCTTCCTTCCTTCCTTCCTTCCTTCCTTCCT